GTCGTCACCAAGGACCCTTAGAGCAGTCGTCCCAACTTTGACTGTTCTGTCAGGACGCGAGTCATCTAAGATCAGGTCCGTATGCTCACCAGCCAGCTGAGGGAGGAATTCATCCGACCGCTCCTCTGCCAATGATTGCTATTTTCTGTCTTTTCTTGCGGCCCCCGTCTGGGATGCCTTTCTCTTCTTGCTGCCTGCTTCTTGAACAGGCGCACTCTCCTTGACATTATCAAGGTCTATTTTTCCACCACTCGACCCAGCGGCCATAACAGTGGGCTTGACATCCGAGAGATAACACTCTCGGGCCATCCTCTGATCTCCCCTTAGGGACCCGACTGTTCCATTATCCCTCTCAAACTTGAGCAACATAAGAGATGGGATTATAACAACCTTGGAATTATTCAAGGTTGGTCATCCCAGAATCATGTTGTAGGCCGAGAGTTCTTCTACTACCAGGAACCGGACTACCATGTGTCGTCCTTCCCCTTTTTCACCCAGGCGGATGGGTAAATCTACTCGTCCCACTGGGTGGACTCCTCCTCCTCCAAACCCTACTAAAGGGTGGGATGCCGGATGTATGCAATCAGTCTGATATTTTAGTTTCGACAGACATTTGCTACTGATGAGATATGAGGAGCTTCCGGTATCTATGAGGATTCGGCCAACTCTCTGGTTGGCCACTTTACATTCAATAACGATAGGGTCGTCATGCGACCCTCTTACCCCTCCTAGATCTTCTTTAGTGATGACAATCTCAGGAAATGAATATTTGGAGGGCCGTTCTTGGTGAACGGAATTTATATCTAGCCGTCTGATATTGTCTTTGTTGCCCCTAATAGTGGGGCCGCCTCCTGAGAAGCCGCCTGCAATGGTGTAGACGACTGCATCATCTGTATCGGAGCTGTCGGCCTGTTAATTCTTTTTGGCCGACTGCTTTTTCGAGGAAGTGTTCCCCGTAGATTTCTTAACATAAGTGTCAAGATCACCTTGCTCAGCCAGGCGGTCCAGCTACCGCATGAGACAAATGCATTCATTGGTGTGATGACCAACATCTTCATGATAATCACAGAATTTTTCTTGGTTCCGGTTGTTTGCAGAACCCTTCATGGGGACCGGCTTCTCAATTGAGATCCGTCCCTTGATTTCCTTTAGGATAAATTGGCTATCCTTGTTAAACGCATACTTTGGGGAGTATGGTTTGAATTCTTTTTTCTTCTTCTGGGCCGGCTGTTTAGAGGAATCAGCCGCCCAGACCTCTTTTCTCTTCTCATCTTTGTTTGACGACTGTTTCTGTCGTCCTTCTCTTTTGTCGGACCTTTTCCCGTCTGACTGTTTTACCGTACTACAAAGATCAGTCGCCTGTATATAGGCTTCCGCTTCAATCAAGGCCTCTTGAAGAGTCGCCACCCTCTTTCGGACCAAATCAAATTTGAAGGTCGACCCGTCTTTGAGACCTCTGAAAAAGTCAGTATAGGCTATTTCATCCGGTAACCCTTGAATCTGTATTCTCATCAGGTTAAACCGCCTGATGTAAGAACGAAGCCCCTCCTTCTCGCCCTGCTGAATCGTTCCTAAATCAAGGGTCGTCTTCTTCGCAAGGATGTTCATGGCGAAGTTGGAGGTGAATAAGTAAGCAAGCGTCCTGAAGTTATTTACACAACCAGTCGGCAGGTTGCCGAACCATTGTTGTGCGATTCCTTTGAGAGTCGCTGGGAAACACTTGCACCAAGTGGGATCATCCAACCCTTGAAGGTACATCAGGTTGGTGAATGCCATCAGATGGTCTTCTGGGTTAGTAGTGCCGTCATAGGCGCCTACTAATACATTTTTCACTTTGGCCGGCTGAGCGGCTTCAGTAATTTCCTTGGAGAAGGCCGACGGCTGTTCGCCAAGTCTAAGCAACCGTAGCTGCCAGTCCATAGGTTGGACATTTTTTGCTGCATGCCCACCAAACGGAGGTGGCTGCAAAAAATACTGTTGTTGCGGTACAAACGGTAAGTTTGGTACCGCCTGGTCGCTATGAAAGCCGGACTGACGGGAGGTGCCGCCTGACTGACTCTCATGATACGACTGAGTATGCCTCATCGAGGTATTGCGCAGACTGTCTTGGAAGTTTGAAGTAGAGACCGACTCTGACAATCGGTCACTCTTCTTCTGCTCTAGCAATAGCCGAGCATTTGTGTATGTTTTCCTTGAGCCGTCCGCCTGAATATGACGAACAGGTTTCCTCTTTCCTGGAGTAGGAAAACGGTATTTTGTGAAATCAAGGGCAGGCGGCTCCCACTTCCTAGATTTAGGATGAGGGGTCGCCTCTCGCCCTTGAACTGGCTTCCTCTTCCGTGAAGTGGAGGGTTTCTTAGCCGACTGCTCCTTGTCCAGAGCAGGCGGCTTCTTGTTGATCAACTCTTGAATTTCTCCCTTGAAGTCCCTCATGAAGGTCATGAGTTCGTTCCTTGTGATGGGAGTAGACCCATCAGTCGGCTGCTGCCGAACAGGCGGTGCGCCTGCTGGCTCACTTCCAGTTTGAAGATGTTCCCGTTCCCTCCTTTCGGTATGACGGGTACGTCGGGCCCTTAGGGTCCCGTCTGAAGCTGTGTGAGCTTCAACTTCAAATTCATTCTCAGTATCGTGGTTCGACTGAACTAGAGGGTCGTCCAGAGGACGTCTCTCTTCAGGAGCCGGTACAAACGTGGATGCCATCTCAGAAGTACTCTCCCCACAGACGGCGCCAAAAATGTTTCGGGGTTTTCTGATGTCCTGCGGGAGAGTTACAATTCCGAGACTGGAACCGGACGCCTGTACCTGCAAAACAAACGGATGCTCCGGATGATTGGAGATCCGCCTCCGACGGTCAAGTTAGTACTTGATTAAGGAGTAATTAATGCGGAAATTAAAGTGATTAGGTCTCTCTAGGTGAGAGTGTTTAATGTGTGTAATATGCGTCATCCCCCTTAATGAGGATTAAGGGAGGTATTTATAACCTCGGGAAACGTGCCAATCCTAGGTTTAGGTTAACCTTGGGCTGATTGGGCTTCCCTCGGAAGTTGGGCCTAGGTGGCCGACTTCTCCATTAGGCATGGAGTATGCCACGTGTCATGACATAATAGGTCCAGGGTGGACGAATAAGCGTGTGCCACGTGGCAAGCCCTGAGAGGTCCAACTGGGGGACACTTGGCATGACCTGATTGGCCCACGTGGCGCATTCCGATTGGTGGGAGAAAAATCCCCTAATCATGTTCCATAATGAAGATGCTACACTACTAGAAATAGGCTTATTTCCGAGGGAATTGTTCTGACGGAATATAATTCCCTTGAAAAATTCAAAAATTCCGGCGGAAATCGAAATTATAGGAAAAATCCGTTGGAAAAGTTCTCTACCGACGGAATATTTCCTCGGAAACGTTCCGACGGATTTTATTCCCTCGGAATATTTAGGTTCCGACGGAATACCTGAATATTCCAAGGGAATAAGTTCCGTCGGAACTGAAAAACAATTAAAAAAAAAAAGTCGAGTTTCACAGACACAGAATAAAAAAAAAACAGAAACATAGAGAGAGAAAGGGAGAGCAAGAAATAGGAAGAGGAAGAAGGAGAAGCAAATCGCCGCCGGACCACCACTCCGCTGCTGTACTGCCGCCGGTAAGTGAGCAATTTTGGTTTAATTTTTTTTTTCGAAAAACCCTAACCACCACCATGTCACCTAGGGCTTATCGGAGTTGTTACTAACAACCACCAACCCCACAGCCTGATACACCCGCCGGCCGGTCTGCAACCACCACGCCCCCAGCCGCCGCCGCCAACAAGTACTGTCTGGGTTTTTTGATTTGTTTTTTTTTTTGTTTATTTTTTAATATAAGTTCACATCTATCATTTATTAATTTTTTTATACAAAATGCAAGCATAAACTTAAAAGCTAAAATTACAAATTTAGTTTATACTTTTATTTTTTGTTTATTTTTTTTTTGTAATTTGAATATTTGTAGCATTTGTAGATTGAATTGGTTCTTTGGCAATAACAACTTAAGATCTACAGGTTAGAAAGTATTTAAAAGCTAAATTTATAAATTTAGTTTATACTTGGCATGTTAGATCCTAATGGTGTGTAGATATATGTTAGTTTATAATTGTTTTTAGTTATTGTATTTACAATTTGTTGTATTTATATTTTAATTTGTTGAAATATTTGAAATGAATGTGTTTGTGTTGTGATATGTTAGATTAGTTTTAGTTTATTTAAGTTAAATTATTGTATTATAACGTGTTAGTTTAGTTTGGTTTAGTTTAGGGTAATAATGTATGTTAGTTTAGTTTATGTCAGTTTAGTTTATTTTAGTTTAGTTTAGTTTAGTTAAATTTAGTTTAGTTTAGTTTAATAAAGTGTATGTTAGTGTATTTAGTTTAATATTTTTGTTTGATATAATGTTTAATACAATATTTAATAAGCGTGCTTATTTATTTGCTTAGTGTAGTTTAATTATGATATATCTCTGTTTAGTAAAATGCATGTGTCCTTCACTTTATATATATATATATAATAAATGAATCATTTGCATATTCATATGCCTAGATACCCGTTCAAGGCATACACATTAGGAGTATGTCTTGAATAGTCCCCGGTTGGGACTGTCCTTGTACGCTTATTCTCACTTAGGTGGTGAATATAAGCCTTGTTTTTTATTCTAGGGAAAATCCTTCCTTTTAATGCATTTCTTTACCTTGTTCTCTAGGTACATATGTAGGTGTGTTTAATCGCCTACATCGTGTACTTGGAGAACTGTAGGGAAATGCTGGCGGATTTTCCATAGAATTGAAAACCTGGGTTACATTCACTAGTGAGAATAAACGTACAAGGATGGGTTAGGTTGGAGTGATAAGGACCCTTTCGAAGCATTTCAAATCTCATTTGCATTTCCATAACGCTTTGGTTGATAATGACTACGAAATACGTTTTATGACTAATGTGATTGTACATATGCGTGAGCTGCGTAGAAGTTGTAATCATGAAACGAAGAGAACGTAGCTGGATGTATGAAAGGATGGTTGGGCAAAGTATTAACCCAGATTTTGTAAAAGGAGTTGATGAATTCATTCAGTACGTCACAGATCATCCCGAGAGTAGTAACCCGAATGAAGTTAGGTGTCCATATGTTAAATGTAAGAACAAACGCCTTTGGAATGCGGATACGGTTAAAATTCATCTGTATCGCAAGGGTTTCATACCTAACTACTATAAGTGGATGTGTCATGGGGAAGGGTATCCGGGAGTTCCCGAACGGTGGTCCAATGAATATCGTGACATGGTTCTCGATGCTTTTGGTCATACTGAAGATCAGGGGCCCTCAGATCAGGCTAGTGTTTTATCATCAGAGGAGGAACCTAATGCAACAGCTAAGCATTTCCTGGATTTGTTGAAGGCTTCTAAAAGGCCATTATACGGAGGGAGTTCTTTGTCTGTGTTAGAGATGGCCGCTAGAATCACTAGTCTAAAGTGTGAGTATAATTTGCCTCACAGATGTGTTGATGGGTTTGCTTCTTTTCTAAGTGAGGCGATTCCAAACAACAGCCATATGGCCGACACTTTCTACGAGGTGATGAAGATTGTGAAGGGTTTGGAACTGTCTCATCAAAAGATTGATGCATGTCCGAAAGGGTGTATGTTGTTTTGGAAGGATGATGGTCAGCTGTCAGCATGCAGGGTGTGTGGCAGCGACCGATACAAGCAGACTTCCAAAGGTAGCCTAGTGCCTTTGAATGTTCTGTTTTATTTCCCGATCACACCTAGGTTGCAAAGACTGTTTGCAACCAAGAACATTTCGGAGGAAATGACATGGCATTCGAAAAATCCTCGAGTTCAAGGCACAGCACACCCTAGTGACAGTGAAGCTTGGAAACACCTCGACAGTCGCTTTCCAAAGTTTGCTTTCGAGCCTCGTAATGTGAGACTTGGTTTGTGTACAGATGGTTTTGCTCCTCATGGTAAGTTTGGGGGACAATATTCTTGTTGGCTTGTCATTTTGACCCCTTATAACCTGCCTCCCTCAATGTGTATGAAAAGACAATTCATGTTCCTTTCGTTGCTCGTTCCTGGTCCTAAAAACCCTAAGGGCAACTTGGATGTTTACATGCAACCGTTGATAGAGGAGTTGAAATTGTTGTGGGAAGTTGGAGTGACTACTTATGATATTTCGATGAAACAGAATTTCAATCTTCGAGCAGCCATCCTATGGACCGTTAGTGATTTCCTGGCTTATGGCATGTTGTCTGGTTGGGTCACAGCTGGTAAGAAAGCTTATCCACATTGCATGGAGAAGAGCAAAGCATTTTGGCTCGAACATGGTGGTAAAGTTTCTTAGTTTGATTGCCACCGACAATTCCTTCCGACAGATCACCCTTTTCGGAATAGTAAAACTGCATTTTGTAAAAACAAAGTAGAGAAAGGTGCCCCTCCACACATCATGTCAGGAGAGGAGCTATGGGAATGTGTTAAGGACCTTCGGAAGGCTACAGATGGACCCGATTTAATTAAACTGCTAAAAAAGGAAAAGAAGGGGTGGTTCAAGCAAAGCACACTGTGGGAGCTCCCATATTGGAAGCATCTCCTCATTTGTCACAACTTAGATGTCATGCACATTGAGAAGAACTTCTTTGATCAGTTAATTCACACTGTAATGGATGTGAAAAAGCATACGTGTGACACGCTATCAGCTTGGAATGACATTGCCAAATATTGTAAACGTCCCCAACTTCATCTTCAGGAGGATAATAAAGGAAAAGAGGTCATGCCAAAGGCTCCATTCGCTCTTGATAAGGCTCAGAGAAAAGTTTTATGTGAGTGGGTTAAACAGCTGCAGTTTCCTGATGGTTACGCCTCCAATTTGAGCAGATGCGTAGATTTGCAAGCATGTAAGCTCCACGGAATAAAAATCCATGACTGTCACATGTTCATGGAGAGGTTGTTGCCCACTACTTTGAGGGAATTGCTCCCTGGCGATATTTGGAATGTAATTACAGAGATCAGCCAATTCTTCGGCGACTTTGTTGCTATAAAACATCAGTTAGTGACATGGAGCGATTAGAGAAAAACATAGCTGAGATCCTCTGCAAGCTTGAGAAGGTCTTCCCTCCTGCATTCTTTAACTCCATGGAGCATTTGCCTATACATTTGCCGTATGAGGGGAAGTTATGTGGTCCTGTACAATACAGATGGATGTATCCCTTCGAAAGGTAAATCAAAGACCCTTATTTCACATCCTTTGTTTTACATCCTAATCACTTGTTCATACAGTTACATAACTATAATTACAGGCTCCTCAACCATTTGAAACGGAAAATTGGGAACAAGGCTCGAGTTGAAGGGTCCATATGCAATGCTTATCTCACTGAAGAGATAGCAAACTTTTGCTCCAATTACTTTCAGTCGACAGTTGACACTAAAACTCGAGATCTTGGTCGAAATGTGAATGCCGACGTTGAGTCCACATTGGACGACGCTGAAATACCAGAGTTGTTCAAGGAGGATAGTGGTCGTGTGTCAAATGAGGGTAAAACTCGGTTCTTAGATGACAAAGAACTCGAGTGTGCACATTTGTTCGTGTTACGAAACACCGGCATTCTTGGCGAATACAAAAGGTATATTAGGTTTAGGTATTCAGTGTATTTCAAATTTACGAACAATTACAATGATGACTTTGTAGGTTTACATTGTGTCTTTAGCCTCGTAGGAAGTTTGAGGACTACATTCTTAGTACTCGACCTTTCCTGCGTAGAAAAGAAGTCATGGAGAATTTCGAAGCTGAATTCTCCGATTGGTTTCATCACAAGGTGATATACGCAGTCTAACCGTGAAATAATTATGAATTTTACATCTTGCATTTCAGTTCATTCAATTCATGAACCTTGATGTTGATATTCAACAACTTTATAGGTGGTCGAAGAGAAGCCAAATTCGGATGACCAGCGAGCGTTGTGCATGCGTCCCTTCAGTCGAGTTCGTACTTGGGGCCAGATTTTTGTCGGTGGATTTAATTTCCATACACATGCCCATGGCAAGCACAAATCCTCCATGAATTATGGTGTGTGTGTATCAAGTGGGGATGGCGGAGATTACTTCGGCATTTTAGACGACATAATTGAACTTGTTTACACGGGACCCAAAAAACAGTACAAGAGAATTTTGTTTAAGTGCAATTGGATGGATTGTGGTAGGGGAATGAACATACACGAACAATACAAGCTAATCGAAGTAAATCATACTAAGAAATACCCCAAGTATGATCCATTTGTCTTATCTTACCAAGTGACTCAAGTGTACTACGCATCATACCCTAGCCTGAAACGGGACCGAGTTCAATGGTGGTCTGTGTTTAACACACAAGCAAGGTCAGTGGTTGATGCTCCGGTGGACTTAGAGTTTTGCAATCACCATCCCCAATAGTACATGCAACGCTTTTCCCACCGAATGACATTCCAGACTACGCCAGAGATGATGATGATGAAGACGATGACGATGGCTTTGTGATCTCAAGCGATGAAGACGATGAATCTAGTATCGGCTCTAGTGATAGTGACGATGATGATGACATCGATGTAGTATTAGATGATAGTATTGATGACTCTAGTAGTGAAAGTAGTGATGAGATTACTGAGTAGGAGAATATGTTAATCTCCTTTAGCAGTATGCTTCTTAATGTAAAATCAAACTATTAATTAGGCTTATGTAAAACTTTTACTGTTTGTATAAAAGCCTTATTACATTGCACTACACTTGTTATTTATAATATCTTGTCATGTTACTAACATCTATTTCAGGTAGTCATGGCGGGTGGAAAAAGTAGACAATCGTCGAAGGAAGCAAGGGGGAAAGAGAAAATGACCTCCCGCGCCCTTTTCAATGACGACCAAGATGAGGAGATGTTCGATGCAGAGGCACACGATTTGGGTGACGATCAGACGACCTCATCCACTCCTCTAGATGATCAGACACGGGATGAGTCACGGGATGAGTCAGAGCTCCCGTCTTTGGACCCTACTACGCTCTGGTACGTACATATCATGATATGGATGATGAGATACAAGGCTTATATTACTATTTTCGAACTTTTTTAACATTGTTGTTCCCCGTTTGTTGTAGGTTTAATGATCTTAAGGTTCGGAGTGCGGTATCCGGTGCGATTACTGGATACTACCGAGCCCCTTGGAGGAACTTTGGAGAAGTTCCTGCAGCTACGAAGGAACACTGGTGGAACTTGTTCAGCGTATGATATTTTTTGGTCTTGGTTAATACATGTTTTAGTTATTGTATTGATTTAGTTTTGTGTATAACTTTTGTATTTTATCATTTGCAGGCACAATTCAGATGGGCGCCTCAGATAAACGAGCTATTGAAGCTCACATTTCGGAGGAGGGTAGCAACACGCCTGCGTGACATGTTCCACACCATCACGCACAAGATGAATGGAGCCAAGCGAAGTTGGATGAGTGAGGAGATCCACAAGGAGATGATGAACATTGTTGCCACGGATCCAACTTACAAGGCGAGGTCGGCGCAAAACAAGAAAAACAGAAGGGGCGGTTCTATGGAAAAACCCGTCCAAGGAACCCACTTTCAGGGTTCGTTGTCAGTTGTCCAACATGCAAAAAGGATGGTAAGTTTATTTAAAAATATCTTATATTAGAAGGCATTTTTATGTATTTCAATGTAACAAGGGTGTGACATGGTTAACGTTTATTCCTATTTTTTTGTATCAAAGGCGGCAAAGAACAAGGGCCAGCTATCAACAGCTCCTGAGCTATTTCTAAAGAAACACTTCAAGGAGCTGCCTGGGAAAGGCACAGTTCCAGTAAACCCCACAGCTAAGGAAATTGCGGTAACAAATTCCCTAAACTTAGTTCCTTGGTTCATTATTCATGAATATGGTACTGAAACCTCTTTGTGCATTTTTTTGGCATTTCAAACCCTAAACACCTTAAACTATGTACATTTGACATGTTTTTATGAGAAATGAAAACATTGGCTAAGAAATAGAGAAAATGGGCAACATAGAAGTCACTTAGGCCCTAGTTGGTGCGTTTTTCACCAATATGGCTCCCAAAACTTAATGTGTTGGTTTTTTTTGGCGTTTCAAGCCCTATACTCCTAAAACTATGTAAATTTGACATGTTTTTATGAGAAATGAGAACATTAGCTAAGAAATAGAGAAAATGGGCAACATAGAAGTCACTTAGGCCCTAGTTGGTGCGTTTTTCATCAATATGGCTCCCAAAAGTATTGATGAAAAACATAGAACTCACTTAGGCCTTAATGTGTTGGGTTTTTTTGGAATTTCAAGCCCTAGAAACCTAAGAGTATGTAAATTTGACTTGTTTTTTTTTAGAAATGAAAACATTAGCTAAGAAATAGAGAAAATGGGCAACATAGAAGTCACTTAGGCCCTAGTTGGTGCGTTTTTCATTAATATGGCTCCCAAAACTTAATGTGTTGGTTTTTTTTGGCATTTCAAGCCCTAGACTCTTAAAACTATGTAAATTTGACATTTTTTTATGAAAAATAAAAACATTAGTTAAGAAATAGAGAAAATGGGCAACATAGAAGTCACTTAGGCCCTAGTTGGTGCGTTTTTCATCAATATGGCTCCCAAAACTTAATGTGTTGTTTTTTTTGGCATTTCAAGCCCTACACTCCTTAAACTATGTACATTTGACATGTCTGGATGAGAAATGAGAGCATTAGCTAAGAAATAGAGAAAATGGGCAACATAGAAGTCACTCAGGCCCTAGTTGGTGCGTTTTTCATCAATATGGCTCCCAAAACTTAATGTGTTGGTTTATTTTGGCATTTCAAGCCCTAGACTCCTAAAATTATGTACATTTGACATGTTTTTATGAGAAATGAAAACATTAGCTAAGAAATAGAGAAAATGGGCAACATAGAAGTCACTTAGGCCCTACTTGGTGCGTTTTTCATCAATATGGCTCCCAAAACTTAATGTGTTGGTTTTTCTTGGCATTTCAAGCCCTAGACACCTAAAACTATGTACATTTGACGTGTTTGGATGAGAAATGAGAACATTAGCTAAGAAATAGAGAAAATTGGCAAAATAGAAGTCACTTAGGCCCTGGTTGGTTATTTTTCATGAATATTGTACCTAAAACTTTGTTACTTTGTTTTTTTTTTTTGTCGTTTCAAGCCCTAAACACCTAAAACTATGTTTAATTGATATGGAATGAGAAAAAAAGAGCTCATTTTCTAAGAAATGAAGTAATTGGGCTAAGTAGAAGTCACCTATGTCATGGTACTTGGTTTATTTTTCATGAATATGGTACCTGAAGCTTATTTATATAACTTACTAACTCGTTTGTTCCTTTTCATATGTTTATCTTGTAGGAGGCCTACCAAAAGAGGGTTGAGGAGGCTAGCACTCAAAGGATTCAAAAGAGTCCGAATGAGCTGTACTGGGAAACAGTGGGTGGTCGGAACAAAAAAGGACGTGTGAAGGGACTTGGCGGAAGTGCTGACCTTTACTATGGCAGCCAGATGGTTCGACTTTCGACATCTTCCATGCAGTACACGCCCTCCCTTGTTTCTCAGATGCAGGATCAGATGGAAACCAGGGTGCAGGCTCTTCGGGAAGAAATGGAACTCGAGATGCAAGCTCGAGTTCAAGCCTCAGTAAGAGCCCAAATGGAAGAAATGGAGAAGAGGTTGGAAGAGAGGATGATGAGTCGTTACCCCAATGACACATGTTCCACCGTGCGACCTCCATTTTGCGATCCCATGGACGACGACCCGGGTAGTGGTGGAGCAGGCCAGGGCACTCCCGTAGTTGCTTAGCTTTAATTTACGTAGTGTTTATTAGTACTAATTTTAGACAACATTACTTGGCTGTACACATTGGAATTAGTATATATATATATATATATATATATATATATATATATATATATATATATATATATATATATATATATACATACATATATATATATATATATATATATATATATATATACATACATATATATAATTATTTTTGCACAAAAACCAATAATTTTATTCTGTCGTAATATTAGAAGCAGGAAGTATAGGTATCAAAGGGTAGCAATGTGCCATAGGAAAATAGTCAAACTCGAAATAGTTCCGTCGTTATTTCCGTCGCAAAGTTCCTACGGAATTTAAATCCGTCGCAAAGGGCATAATGTTCCGACGGAATATTCTGTCGGTAGCTTGCGATGGAAAAATATCCGTAGGAACATTGCGACAGATTTTTCCGTAGGAAATGTAACTGCTTCCTACGGAAAAATCCGTCGGAAGGAGCTTAGATTCTGACGGAATATTCCGTCGGAAGATAGACGGTTCCGACGGAATATTCCATCGGAAGCTCAACTCCTTCCGACGGAATATAGTTCGTCTGAAGCTTGCGACGGACTTCCCATTTTGGTCAAACTTAGGCTCCGACTAGTTTTAATCCGTCGGAAATTCCGTCGGTATGGATGTTTCCGACGGAAAATCCCTCAGAAAAAGCCAAAATTCCTACAAAGTGAAATCCGACGACATCTTTCGACGGAATTCCGTCGGAAACTGCCTTTTCCGACGGATTGTCATGATGTTTCGACATATTTTTTTCCGTCGTAAATAAGGTGTTTTCTAGTAGTGCTAAGATTTGCAAAGTAATAATAACTAAACCTATGCAATAAGTGAACGACAACATTCACAATTGCATGAAAGAAATCAAGCATATTAAGTATGGGTGTGATTTCTATAAATGTTTTGTGAAGAGTATCACTCTTAAAACATTTGGGGAAAACCATTTATCATAAGATGAAACGTTGAAAAGTTTCATGGTGGAATAAAATTTTACTAATAAAATTCCACAAACTCTGTAATTGTGGTTTAGAATTAAATAATGAGTCCATTCGATTTCTAAGAATATTCAAAACAGGGTATCAAGACCATGTCTTGGATAAAGAAACACCTGTTAAGTGAACATCGAATATTACAATCGATAACTATCCCTAATCAAGGTCATTTAAATGATGGACGATTAATGACCACTTGAGATTAGTGTGTAGTATGATTTATAGCACCGTTTCTTGTGCTACGAGGACATGATTGTCATAAATCATTTGCACAGGTATTAGTTTAGAACTATACCGGATCGACCTATGAGAGTACTTTAAGAGATTTAAAAATCGTCATAAGTTTATTTCTGATTATAGCTATCAGAACCTTTTTCCTCGATCGTGAGTGTTGTAAGTTCTCTTGTTTGAGTACTAGTCTGTTTTGATGTTGTCAAACGTCTGCCGTAAAAGAGGATTATAACGACAACACTTGGGCAACTAGGTCCTCTTAGTAAGGGAAGCTAACAATACAAGATTAGGAATGTCCCCCTTTAACATTCGGGAACATGTCTTTGTTGTTTACAAGGCCTCTCGAAGAATGAGACTGTGAAAATGCATGGTCGTGCTCAGACGGATTTTAGAAATCATCTGCTTATTGACAGTCGAACTCGGGAATCGAGAAACACTTCTGGACGTAATAAGGATGACGAAGAATCTTACCTTATAGTTCATGAAGAGACATTAAGTGACATAGGAAATGGGCTATACACTATCTGCACACTTGTCCGGAAGGACAAGTAGGAGATTGAAAGGAATGGTGTCCTTCCAGCAAGTGTATTATTCCGATAAAGGGTTTGGAATTATTAGAAAGCTAATTCTTCAGTGAGGTCAGGTGATCAGAATGCCTAGGTGGAGGCCGCTTCCAATCAGTAATATTAATGTATAATTAATATTATAGCTTAATCTTGATTTAACCCTTCGGGTCACACCCCAATCGAGTAACCGATTCGAGGCGACGAATCAATCCGAAGGATTGGATGAGTCATTAGAGTATTACGAACAAAGACGTCGGATATCGAGCTTAGAGCGTCGAGACCGAGCGTCGCAAGTCGAGTCAAATTTAGAATTTGACGAAACGTAGAATCAAGCAAGTGACAAGTACGAGCCAAGCCGTACCCTCGCATTGGCCTAGCCATGCGAGTGCTAGGCTAGGCGAGGTCACCAACCACATGTGTGCCAGCGTGCCTAGCATTGCCCAGCACACGCACATCGCACAGCACGAGCATCGCAAGCTACGTGCCATGCGTGTGTGTGTAGTGGCTATGCGTGCATGGCTGTGCATGCTTGCTAGCATAGCAGCACCAGCAATCGCAGCATGCTGGGCATCGCACACCACAGCCCGCAACATCGCAAGGCCAGCAGCACGCAAGTGCTTGCTGGGCCTCGCTAGCACAAGCATCGCAATCAGTGTGCAAGCGTGCGTATGCTGTGGCGATGTGTGCTTGCTGGCATAGCAGCACCAGCCACAAGCAAGTGCTGGGACTTGCTAGCACACGCACACTCGCAGCGCAACTCAGCAGCAGCCCGCAACGCATGTGTAGCCTGCTTGTTACTCGCATGCGTGTGCGAGCTGGCTGGCTGGCAAGCCCAACCTTGGTGCTAAGCGCCAGCTGCGCTAGGCAGCCTTAGCAGCCAAGGCAGGCTGCCAGCCAGCCATGTGGCGTGGTCAGCACCGGTCAAATATGGGGACCGGTCTTGGTGTTTGGCTTGGGGAACAAGGAGTTTTGGTTCCCCCCTTTGGTGGTCCTCACCAACCATTGCTCTCCATATGACACTTGGAGCTTGTTGATTGCTTTGCATTTTAATTTGTTTTTGATTAAAGTAAATTGAGGGAAAATGCAATTCTTCTACAATAATGGGAGAAGGGAGATCAAGGCTCCCTTCCCAATAAATACCCAAGTTTTGGGTTTGGGAAAAATCACTTGAGTTGAAATCAATAAGGCATCTTCCCATAGGTGAGAAAACCTTTAAGTTCGTTATACTCTAGTCTTTTCTTGGTCTAGCCCCGACTAACCTTCGGGGTAGAGGTCGTTCGGGTCGGGTCTCGAGGGTGGACTCCGTCAGAGGCTCACGCACTTGCGGAGCTAAGGCTTTGAAGTCCAAACTCTATAGGAGCGAAGCACGCGTCGAGGGTATGGTCGTCTTTCTCTCTCTCTCTCTCTTGTTGTTTAATTATGTGATTGCATGCTTAGTTACATTAATTAGTGTGCGGGTCTTGGGCGGGTTTCTCTTCCGCGTAGTGTCGGACACTACGAAACCCAAAAGGACTAATGTTGGTTGCTTGGGTGATGTGGCATTGTTTGAGTGATGATGTGGCGTCATAATATATTGGAAAAGTAACGTGGCGCAACAAAAAGGGACTACGTGGCACATCGACGTTCGGAAAATAATGTTGGGCAATAAAAAAGGGATTACGTGGCACATCAACGTTCTTAGGAACGCCTTTTAATAGATTAGTGATGCGGTGTCGAAACGCACACAAATTAATAAAAATTACCCTAAAACTACTAACTTGTAATTAGCGGAAGTAAGGGTCGATCCCACGAAGAACGTGCTTGCAAATAACTAAGAATAAGATCTAAAACACTTAACTAAGGCTCAAAACAGTAAAAGAAACGATTGGGGGGAGTTTAAGGATAAGGAACAACTAACAACTAAATCTAACTAGGAACTTAAACTAACAGGAACAAGAACAGAAAAGGAACTTGAGATACTCAGCAACTATACATAGAAATCCACCATGCACATGTATAATCCCGGACATAATACTTAACCCTTTATAATAGCTTGACTTATAGAACAAGTTCCTCTGTTTCCCCTTATTAATGGTTAGATCCCGTACGACTTTCACTAACCCTAACCAACAGATAACCCCTATACTACGAGCAAGGAATTTAACCTGATGACAACATTAGGAACTAGGAAAACATCAAGCCAAGACAACCACAACACTCTGAAACTTACGTGATTTAGCTTCGATCGAGAATTACATTTCAATTAATTGAGTGGAACGTCCTCCTCTACAATTGTTTGCTACTTCATTAATGTTCCCAAGCAATTACGGACTTAGTAGTATTAATTAGCAAAAGAGATCAGACTCAAACAAATAGTTGTACACCTACTTATAAGAAATCATCATTCGTATGAATAAAACAATAATTCAAGAATACTCTAAAGCATTAATCATTAAAACCAATAATACTCGTCTTAAATACTTAATACATGGCTTCAAACTATTAGTTACTGAGCATAACAAGCTAAGGACTCATAACACAGAGATAAGAAAAGAAAACAAAACGAGAACCCATCAAGTTCCTCAGCTTCGGATCTGATTTCCTCTCAGGCAGCTCCGAGTTCCTCCGCTGCAATGTATCACGAACAGTGGCAAACGACTCCTAACCCTTGAGGGGTTTTGGAGTGAAGCCTCCCTTCTCCAGCGTCTGCCCTTTTCTCTCTAATTTTATGGCTTTAAATAGGCTAAGAGATAATTGGGAATCTTTCAAAGATAAGGAAAGTAACAAGACAAGATTGTGAAAATATATCTCTTTCCATATCTTAACCAATTGATAAGATCTTCTCTTTAATCAAATATATCTTTTCTAACTGCTGTAGATCTTGTAAATTATTCCCCATGACTTCCCAAATTCGTGAATTCAATGAACCTAGATGAACAAAACGTGCCCAGCCAGCAAGCTCTTTTCATCTCCATCAGTTTATCAACTTCCTCCGTAGGAACTTCCATTCGTGTTTCACATTGACTCCTTTATTTGGTTCATCATTTTATCTTCCAAAAACACTCAATAACCTATAAAACACGCAAAAGAGAAATAAGCCACAAAATATCAAAAAGCTAAATAAAGACACTAAAATGCTAAAGGAACTAACCTAAAATCTAAGAAACATAGATATAAATAGTCTCGGAAATGACATTCA